CATTTCAGTGAATAGTTGACTCTTTCTTAGGTTTAGAAGCCTTTTGGAAGATTTAAAGAATGTTATTGTAATTGCATAGTCCTTGAGGCCTGAGTTCCATGTGTACTGATGAATATTTTTTCGAAGGATAACAAGGAAATTATCTGGGCAAAAAAATAGCTGGGCATTTATTTGTAATACTGCTAATCAAATGGTTAGCAGTATTGTCTTTTAACCTTCCCTTCTCTTTTCTTAGGGACAGTCTCCATCAATTCGCCAACTTATCATGCATGCAATGGCAGAATGGTACATGAGAGGGGAGCAGTATGACCAGGCCAAATTGTCTCGAATACTTGATGTGGCCCAGGACTTGAAGGTAACTAATATTATTAATGGTTAACAGGTTTTTTTGTTTGTTTTTAATGTAATGTACATGTGTTGGTACTTTACATGCAACCAGCTCATTGGAGTAAAGATTTATTTTTGCATTGTACATTGAAAGAACAAAAAGAATGGTTTTAGATAGGTACACATAACAGTTCTGTTTTGTTGGTCTGTGTTGTACAAGGCTGGGTTTTTTTTGGTCACTAGTTTCAGGGGGTTTTTAGTGATGCTCAGAATTGTACAACAGGGACTTAGACCTGCTAGAAAAGCACTTTACCATTAAGGTATATCACCGGCCCTTTCAAGACTATTTTAAAGCAAATGATGATTCAATTTTGGTCATAAGTAATCTGAGATACAGTTTTGTAGAAGAGAGGTTACAATTCAACCCTGTAACAAATTAATCAGAATCTTCTGTAGTCTTAACTCATCACTCTGTTAATATAAGTGATATAATTATGTTAAGCTTATGTTAAGCCTGAATTTAGATGTTAAAAATGGGTAAGGATCATTATTCACACTTTAATCAAATCTTGCTTGTTAGTTGAAAGAGAACTAGGTAGTTAATTTCGAAGGTAGAGTCATGAATTGACTTAAAATGGGACCTTAATTTTAAGACTAATATTACCACTGGCTATATTAAGTTGTTTAAATGTTGTGAGCCTCCCTTCAAAAAAATTTGTGACCAAGGAAGTAGTAGCAATCAGTGTTTTACTTAGTAGACTTGTCTGTGAAAAACAGGAAACAAAGTAGTACAAAGAAATAGTCATTACTTGACTTGATATTCTAAATGATCTTTTACTTTAGGCTTTGTCAATGCTGCTAAATGGCACGCCATTTGCCTTTGTTATTGACCTTGCTGCACTTGCTTCGCGTCGTGAATACCTCAAACTTGACAAGTGGCTCACAGATAAAATAAGAGAACATGGGGTAAGCAGTATGCAGGATTTTTTCACTCTGTCTTAAAATTTTGGTGGCTAAACTGTCTTTAAAAAAGATGTTGCTTACGCCTTTAATCCCAGCACTCGGGAGGCAGACGCAGGCGGATCTGTGAGTTTGAGGCCACCTGGTCTCCATAGCGAATCCAGGCCAGCTGGGGCTACAGGGAGACCCTGTCTCAAAAAAAAAAAAGATGTTGCTGAGTGGGCCTGGGAGATGATTCAGAAGTTGAGCACTGGCTACTCTTGCAAGGAACCCAGATTCCACCTCCAGCACCCATATGACCGCTAACAACCAACCACAACTCCAGGGGATCTCACACACTCTTTTCCCTTCTGTTGGTATTACACACAGGTGCACTTGACGTATGTGCAGGCAAAATACTCATATACCTTAAAAATATATAAATAAGTAAATATTTTTAAATAGATACTGCTTGTATTGAACCTAGGACCTGGTACATGGTTGATTGCTTTACCTCTGAGCCATATCCCTATCCCCCAAATCACCTTTTTCTTTTTAAAAAACTGTGTTTTGCCTTCATGTATATATGTATGTATGTATATGCACCATATGTGTACTCGGTGTCCATTGAGGCTAGAAGAGGGTATTGGAACTCCTGAAACTGGAGTTATAGTTGGTTGTTAGCTGCTGTGTAGGTGCTGGGAACTGAACCTGGGTCCTTTGCAAGAGAAGCAAGTGCTCTTAACTGCTGAGCCATCTCTCTAGCCCCCTCCCCACCCCCAGAAATGCCTTTTCAAGACGGCATTGAAAACATCATTTATTGTAGATTGTAATTCTAGTGCATAGTTTGTACCTTCATTCTAAAAGCATTTAAGATGAGTTTAAAATACACTATGAAACATTTTTTCTTTTTTAGGAGCCTTTTATACAAGCGTGCATGACTTTTTTAAAGAGAAGGTGCCCTTCTATTTTGGGTGGACTTGCCCCAGAGAAAGATCAACCCAAAAGTGCTCAACTTCCTGCTGAAACTCTAGCAACAATGTTGGCTTGTCTACAGGCTTGTGCAGGGTAAGAAGAATGCTTAAAAATGACTATATTGAACCCAGAACTTAGGAGGCAGAGGCAGGAGGATCATCAGGAGTTTGAGGCTAGTTTGGTCTTTGGTCCTTATTTAGTTTTTAGTTCAGGACTGCATGGCGCAAGACCCTGTCTCAAAAACAGAAAAGAGGCTATAATACATAACTGGGTTATAATGATGACTGTTGGTTGGGAGAAAGTGAGGTTAAACTGAAAATGATAGTAGTTTAAGAAAAATCTATTGGGCCAGACACGGTTGCACACACCTTAATTCCAGCACGCTGAAGGTGGAATGCTGGTGGATCCCTGAGATCAAGGCCAGCCTGGATACATAGTGAGACTGTTGTCATGTCTTCCTACCCCACAAAACAAAACACTATTTGATATTTTAGTTCAAGTTACCATAATGTTAAAAATATGTAATAGATCCTTTGTGTTAATTTTTTGGATGTGGTATGAAAATAGGGGTCTCATTCTTTTTTTTTTTGCATGTGTGTTTGGAGCTATCCCAGCAACATTGTTCAATGAGAATACTTTTTTCTAATTGTCTTCCAAAACTTAATTCTGCTTTGAGACATATGCATGCTATGTTTCCTTATTCCAGCACCATCCTGTCTTAATACTATCTTTTTAATAAATGTTGACATTGAGAAGATTAAGAGTTTTTTAACCTCATTTTTTTTTTTTTTTTTTTTTTGGCCTTTTTGAGACAGGGTTTCCTTGTAGCCCCAGCTGTCCTGGAACTCACTATGTAGACCAGGCTGGCCTCAAGCTCACAGAGATCACCTGCTTCTGCCTCCCAAGTGCTGGGATTAAAGGCGTGCACCACCATGCCTGGCTCAACTCCATTCTTTTTGAAGGTTATCGTAATTGTTCATGGATGCTTGAATTGCCATACAACTTTCAAGTTCAGTTTGTACATTTGTGTGCATTCATTTCTGCAAAGAAGCTTTGGGATGCTGTAATTCTTGTGCTCAGTCTTTAGATTATTTGGAATATGTTGCCATCCTAACACAGTCCATGGAGCTGGGATGCCTTTGCATTTATTTAGTTCTTCAGTTATTTTGTTCTGTGATGTTTTAAAGAAACAGTCTTTGGCCAGGCGTGGTGGGTGGCATATTCCTTTAATCCCAGAACATAGGCAGGCAGATATTTTTTACTTCAATACCAGCCTGGTCTACATAGTGAGTTATATGCTAACTGGGGCTACAGGGAGGCCCTGTCTCAAAATAACAGAAGGGGTAGGGGTGCTGGACAATGTTTGCCTAGCACGTATGAAGCCCTGGGTTCAATCCCAGAACTGCATAGACTGGTCATGGTAACTCAAGTCTTCAATCCCTACATAGTGGAGTTAAAGGACAGCCTGGCCATATGAAACTAGGGTCTAGCTATGTCAGCTGTCTTAGCCCCAAACTATTCCTGGGTTTAAGCAATATTTCTGTCTAAATTAACTGACTGAGATTATAGGTTTATTTCACTGTGTGCACAACCCCATTCCCTAATGCTACTAGTGCAGATTTTTTATTCAGTAGCTACAAAATAAGGCAATATCTATATTGCATAGACCTTATTTTTTTTAATATTTTATTTATAGTTGTATGTGTATGAGTATACTGCCTAGATGTATGTGAGTGCACCCATGTTGTGCAAAGCCCGCAGAGGTCAGAAGAGGGCGTCAGATCCTCTGGAACTGGAGTTATGGATGGATGTTAACTGCCATGTGGATGCTGGGATTCAAACTTATAAAAAGGTCCTCTGTAAGAGCAGTCAGTTTTCTTAACTGCTGAGCCATCTCTCCAGCCCCTGCATAGACTTTCTTAAAATGGGAGTTGTTACAGTTTCATAAGGGACCAAGATAGGTTTGCCTCTTAATTTTGTCTTAGATGTCTTAGTCACTTCTTTCTGTGCTTGCTAAATGTAGTTACTGTCTGTGTTTTTTTTTTTTTTTTTTAATCTGTATTTGATAAATATGTTCTCTTGGACTCTACTTCATTTGTATTAAAGTTGTTGCCTGTTTTCTTTAATGCAGTGTCTTTGTTCAAATATAGTTTTTAACAGTATTTGAAGATACAACAGTGTTCAGAAATTCCTAGTGATAAATGGCAAATGCAAAGGGGTATAGTATAATAAGTTTAGCCCCATATTCCAGAAAGTTTGCCTGACTAAAAAATCAGTTTGGTGCCTTTAGGTGTTCTGGGAAATAGCAAGTATATACTTCACTTTTTTCTTCTTTTTTTAGGAGTGTTTCTCAAGAGTTATCAGAGACCATCCTCACTATGGTAGCCAATTGCAGTAATGTTATGAATAAGGCCAGACAGCCACCACCTGGAGTAATGCCAAAAGGTCGCCCTCCTAGTGCTAGCAGCTTAGATGCAATTTCTCCTGTTCAGGTAACTGAGTGCTAAAACACCTGCCTTCATTTGCTCATAAATTCAGAATAGACCACTCTTCTACATCATCATTAATAATTGTTTATTTTAATTTGATTATTTGCATGTGTAGCTTGTTTTAAAGGAGATCCATCCATAGGCATTATAATCAAGAATAGATTTTAATCATCAAATAGAGTATGACTCTAAGAGGAAAGATAAAAAACCACTTCTTTAGGTAAATGAAGAGAGTTTCTTTTTAAAATTAGAACTACACTCTTGAGAAATAAGCACTGCCTTTGAATCTGATGTGTCTTGTTTGTAGCTTCACGGGCCAAGCAACAGTTCTAGAGCATAACGACTTGTTATAACTGGGGCTCTTCAGCTCGCAACTGAACTGCTCTTTTAAAAACAAGGTACATTTAAGTTACTCCCTGACATCGACCACCCCATTCTTTTTGGGAGCAACATACTCCACTTCAGTTTCCAGTTGCACTGAATAACAGGTTGGGGTTTAAGGAAAGAAAGGGCACTTAGTGATTCTTCAGTGTCTACCTTACAAAAAAGACATTTGCTTGTCATTTCCCATACTTAGGAAGGTATGAAGTAGAGCTTTAAAGATATTTGGAAGTATAGTTACTAGATACTTTTTAAAATCTTTGCAAATAGCACATCTTGTTTTGTTAAGTTTCTTTTAAAATCAGAAGTAATCTTTTCCTACCCTAAAAATTCTAAAATTTGACAATGTTTGTTGACTGAAGGCTTAAGTTCTAATTTTTATTACTTTCACTGTTTTGGAAGTAAAACTACTGGCTGAGATTGTTTATATTTTGCTCTATGGCATTACTAAACATTTATTAATAGAAGAAAAGGCAATTTTGTGATTTTTTTTTTTTTTTTTTCTTGAAGTTTTGCACCCTTCCTCCATGGCTCTGGTACTTTATGGCAGGGCCTAACTCTTTAAACATATTCCTTAAATAGTATGAAAAATGACTAGCAGACTTGTTACTATTTATCATAATTGTGTGGGTGTTGGAGTTAAGAGTATAAAGAGGTATTGCCTATGATTACTTGACTTGTGTCAGATAATACATTTTTATAATGTTTTTCTTTAGATTGACCCTCTTGCTGGAATGGCATCTCTTAGTATAGGTGGTTCAGCTGCCCCTCACACCCAGAGTATGCAGGGTTTTCCTCCAAATTTGGGTTCTGCATTCAGTACCCCTCAGTCACCAGCAAAAGCATTTCCACCTCTTTCAACCCCAAATCAAACAACTGCATTCAGTGGTATTGGAGGACTGTCATCACAGCTTCCAGGTAAGGAGGGGAAGTTGAGTGAGGGCATGGATTATTTATAAATTTCACTGTACCCTAGTATGTGGTAAGGAGTTTGGAGTGATTGATAAAAGAAAGCTACTTCAATCTGGGCTTGGCGGTGCACACCTTTAATCCCAGCACTCTGGAGGCAGAGGCAGGTGGATCTCTGTGAGATCTTCAGCAAAATTGTGAAAGCTATGTTAATATTCCAAGTTGGGGAAAGAAAACATTTAGTTTGGTTTGGCTTAATAGAAATAAACCATTAAAATTTATGGTTGTAAAACTATTTCATTCAGTAAAGATTCTGTTTCACCAAGTGCTAATGTGTGTACCCTAGTATGGTCCTGGTCACATATTTTTTTATATTTTATGTTTTGTTTTTGTTTTGGTGCTGGGGATTTAATCCAGGGCTTCTCATACTACAACTGAAATACATATCTCTCACTCCATCTAATCACATTTTAAAGACCTTAGATCTAGAATTCAGGTTTATGGCTCACAAAGGCAGGAAATACTGTACACCTCAAATTCAAGTTTATATTCTGCCTGCCTTGTACTTAACCCACCTTGAAAATAGTGGTATATCTAAACTTTTTTAGTCACCCCCTTTCCTCCCAATATTCTTGACTTATACACACTTAATTTTCTGTAACCTTGTACAGGCTGCATGTTAGGGCACTAAAGCCTAAAGACTGCCATGTCATGAAGCAGTAACCTAGTTACTATTGCTGTATGGCTCTAATTTTATATTTTATGTGTATGAGTGTTTTAACTGAATGTAAGTGTACCGCATGCCTGTAGAAACTAGAAAAGGAGGTCAGAGCCACTGGAACTAAAGTTATGGATGGTTGTTAGCTACCATGTTGGTGCTAGGAACAGAATCTTAGAGTATCCAGTGCTCTTAACCATTGATCTATCTCTTCAACGCCTGCTATATGGTTCTAGACCTGATGATTTACTCACTTAAACCAAAAATACTGGACTTATTAAAGCCTTCCTAACACAAATTAAGAAGGTTTGGGGTTTTTGTTTTTATATTTTTCTAGAGATACTTAATAGAAATCCTGACTCAGGGTAGCTATACTATGGTAGCCTGAATTTCTCTAATTTTAATCATTGTAATCTTTAAAAATTTTTATTGCATTTTATTTTATGTATACAAGTGTTTTACTTGCATGTTTGTAAGTGCACCATGTCTGTGCACTGCCTGCAGAGGCCAGAAGAGGGCATCTGATCCCCTGGATCTGGAGTTACAGATGGTTAGCCTCAGTGTGAGTGCTGGAAACCGAACCTGGGTCCTCCGCAAGAACAGGAAGGCCTCTTAACTGCTGAACCATCACTCCAGTTCCTAATCACTGTGATCTTGAGCATGTTTGTCCTTTGAGAGTGTATACTTTGTATATTCAATAATATAAATAACGGGACCAGTGAGAGTTGGATCACTATAAGCATGGAGACCTGATTTCAATCCCTGGAGCCCACATAATGGTGGAAGGAGAAAAATGACTCCACAAGTTGTCCTCTGGCCTCCACACTTGTGATGTGACACACATACCCACACACATATATCATGCACACACATATAACACAATACATTTTTTTAAAGTGAAGAATATAAGTAATGATAGAACTTCTGGATGCTTTCGTTCTTTCTAGTAGGTGGTCTTGGCACAGGCAGCTTGACTGGTATAGGAACTGGGGCCCTTGGACTTCCTGCAGTGAATAATGACCCTTTTGTACAGAGGAAACTGGGCACCTCTGGACTCAACCAGCCTACATTCCAGCAGAGTAAGATGAAACCTTGTAAGTGGTAGTGTTGTCTGTGATTGTGAAGTGTGACTGACATACATAAAAAAAACCTTACTGTCAGTGTTGTCTTTAGAGTTATGTAGACAACACTGACTTGTCTCGATATATCGCTATAGAGCCATGTGTTACTGTGTGTCCTAGACCAATACACATAAATCCAAACATTTAATTAATAAAAGAAAAACTAGATTGCCAGAACAAAATGATAGGTTAATAAGAGGCTGCATCTTTAAGCTGTTATTATGAAAGTAAGGAGTAATAGGTATGGGAAAGAGAAAAGACCCACTGAGTTCTTAATTTTTTCATTTTAACACACAAATTTATTGGTGTCAGTTATTAAAAGTCAGGAGCACCAGGTGTGTAAGTGGGTGCCTTTATTTAGTCTCAGCACTTGGGAGGCGGATTGCTCTGAGTTCAAGGCCAGCCTGGTCTTTATAGCAAAACTGTGAGGAGGGTGACAATGATAAAAATGTATCACATGTATGAAAAATATGTCAGGCGCAGTCAAGGAAATTTCCAATTTGTTTCAGCTAGTCAAGGTTATAAAGTAAATACTAGCTTCCTAGTGAATGGCTCATAAATATTGCCATATAATACATAGGATACAAATTAAGATCAGTTTTTAAGGTTCACCTTAGCAATATTACCTAAAAGACAAATCATTTTTATGGATACGTAGGCATAATCAGTTGACTCATGTCTTTGTTATTACTGGACTAAATATTTAAGACACAAAGATTGAAAGAGCTAGACATTTTGGTACATACATGTAATTCTAGCACCTGAAAACAGAAGCAGGATGATTGCAAATTCTAGCTAGCCTTGGGCTACTTTTAGCAAGATCCTTTCTCAAAAAACAAAGCAAACAGAAAAGGATTAAAAGTATGCCAACCAGCTGGGTATGGCTCCAACCATGTCTGTTGATGAGGTGAGCATTGTTTATTATTTATATAAATCTGAAATGCCTTCTTGGAGTTTTTAGAACTTCAGCTTTTATAGCACTTAGGAGGCAGAGGTAGGCAGAGCTCTGAGTTTGAGGCTAGCCTGATCTACATAGCACGTTCCAGGCCAGCTGGGGCTACAGGGAGACTCTGTCTCAAAAAGACCCAAATGCCTTTAATCCTAGCACTTGGGTGGCAGAGGCAGGCAGATGTTTGTGAGTTCAAGGCCAGTGTGGTCTGCATAGTCAATTCCAGACCAGCTTGGGCTACAGGGAGACCCTGTCTCAAAAAGACCCAGATGCCTTTAATCCTAACACTTGGGTGGCAGAGGCAGGCAGATGTTTGTGAGTTCAAGGTCAATGTGGTCTACATAGTCAATTCCAGGCCAGCTGGGGCTACAGGGAGACCCTGTCTCAAAAAAAAAATAAACAAGCAAAAAGTATACCAACTGATTTGAAAATGCTAGTGTGAAAGGTTTGTCTGAATGTTACGTTTTGTAGCATGCTTTGTGTTTTTATCTGTGCCATGCAATATGTTAAGCCATATTTTTATTACAAAGCAGTAAGACTTGCTAACCTTGAGTGGATTATATTAATGGTAAATGTGTTAGGAATTTGGATTAAGTGATCGTTGTTACTGCAGTAAGATCCGAAAAAAATATAGTAGAGCTAAGTAACAAATTTATTAAAAATCTTTTTCATCTTCCTGGACAACTTTAGTATTAAAATTGATTATTTAATACTCTGATTCAGTTTCTTTTCTTTTCCCCATAAAGTTAGAACCATTAGTCTCTATCTCTCAGGGAGAAAGACTTAAGCATGTTGTATACCAATTGCCTTTTGTTTCCAACAGCGGACTTGTCTCAGGTATGGCCAGAGGCAAATCAGCACTTTAGTAAAGAGATAGATGATGAAGCAAACAGCTATTTCCAGCGAATATATAATCACCCACCACATCCAACCATGTCTGTTGATGAGGTGAGCGTTATTTATTTATTTATATAAATCTGAAATAAATGCCGCCTTAAAGTTTTTAGAACTTCAGCTTTTACAGCACTCAGGAGGCAGAGGCAGGCGGATCTCTTGAGTTTGAGGCTAGCCTGGTCTATATAGCAAGTTCCAGGCCAGCTGGGGCTATAGGGCGACTCTGTCTCAAAAAGACCAAAAAAATAAAGAACTTTAGCTCTTAGCATTTAGTATGTCTATCAATCTTTTGAAGTCTTTTTTAATTAATTTTTTTTTTTTTTGTTTGTGTGTATGAGTATATTGCCTGCATGTGTGTGAGTGCACCGGTGTCATGCAATGCCCACGGAGATCAGAAGAGGGCATTGAATTTCCCTAGAACTGGAGTTACAGGT